CATTTTTGTTTTTATATTTAGTTGGTGATTGTATATTGGAGTGACTTGCCCATGATTTTTATTTTGTTATCTATGTAAGCAGGGTACTGTGTTGTGCTCTTCTGTTCACTAGTTGGCAGCACTTATTATACACTCACCACCTGTGTCCTTTCCCATTGTCAGCCTCCCATATGTCTCTGCCAAGGTCTGGTGTTAACAAATTTAACAAATTTCTCTTTAACAAAGAGAGCCTTTTCTTAGGTCCCTGGAATCCAGATGAGAATGCTGTCACTTTAAAATCCAAAATGGCCACCATTTGTAAACATTCAAAATGGCTGTGCCCTCGGTCACTTTATATATGCAGAATTGTCACCTCTTGTTATCAAAATGGTTGCACCCTCCAGACAGCCAAAAGTCCACAGCTCAGGTTGTCTCCCTCCTTGCTATTTCCCTTCCTAGTCATAGGCCACCAACGCAATTGTCCCTGCAGCCCTTGGGAACCAAGGCTGATCTTTAGGTCAATTCTCAGGTCCCAACACCACTTGAAAATATTCAGACTGTTGGTCCTGTCAGAGTAGCTGACAGTCCACTGCTCTGACCATCTCTGTTTTTGTTCAGGTTTTTCCATTAGTTGGTCCCGAATCCACGCCTGTATACTTCCTTTCAAAGCTCAGGGCTCCAGGATTATCTTGTGTATCTCTGTCAACTGGTTTCTCTTTTCTGTGTTGAAGAGGGTCTGTGTAGCTTGTGTACCTATTCCTCCATCTTACCGGAAGTGCATATTTTTAAGTTTTAAAATTTATTGAGGCTTGCTTGTAGCCTAAGATATGATCTATTCTAGAGAATGATCCATGTGCACTGGAAAAGAATGTGTATTGATTTTTGTTGAGTGGAGTGTTCTGTACATCTGTGAGGTCGAGTTGGTTGATTGTCTTGCTGGAATCTTTGTTGATTCTGTGTATTTGTTGAGTTTCTTTCTAGCTGTTTTGTCCTTCATCAAAAGTGGTGTGTTAAAGCCTCCCACTACTATTGTGGAGTCATCTATTGCTCTTTTCAATTCTGCTAATGTTTGTTTTATGTATATTTGGGGTTCTTTCATAAGATGCATAGATATTATGGTTATGTCCTCTTGCTGAATTGACTCTTTTATCATTATGTCCTTCCTTGTCCCTTATGCTGGTTTTTGCCTTGAAGTCTGTTTTATCGGAAATTAATATTGCCATTCCTGCTCTTTTTTGGTTGCTCTTAGATTGATTTTATTTTCCTCATCCTTTGATTTTTAATTTATTTTTATCTTTATGTGTAAGGTGAGTCTATTGTAGGAAGCATATTGATGGCTCCTGTTTTCTTATCCATTCTACCACTCTCCTTCTAATGACTGGTGCATTTAATCTATTCACATCCAGTGTAATTAAGGACAGGTATGAATTTACTACTGTAATTGAATGAGAAAAGAAGAAAAGACTAAAATGGATGTCAGAAGAGACTCTGAAACTTGCCCTTCAGTGAAGAGTAGCTAAAGCAAATGGAAGAAATGACAAGGTAAAAGAGCTGAACAGAAGATTTCAAGGAGCAGCTCAAGCAGACAAAGCCAATTATTATAATGAAATGTGCAAAGACCTGGATTTAGAAAACCAAAAGGGAAGAACATGCTCAGCATTTCTCAAGCTGAAAGAACTGAGGAAAAAATTTAAGCCTTGTGTTGCAATATTAAAAGATTCTATGGGCAAAATATTGAATGATGCAGGAAGCATCAAAAGAAGATGGAAGGAAGACACAGAGTCACTGTACCAAAAAGAACTGGTCGATCTTCCTCCATTTCAGGAGGTGGCATATGATCAAGAAGCAATGGTATTGAAGGAAGAAGTCAAAACTGCACTGAAGGAACTGGCGAAGAATAAGGAATGTTCCTTGAAAGCAAGAATGGCCAGACTTCATCTCACCTATTTTGTCATGTTGTCGTAAGGAACCATTCCCTGGAAAAGGACATCATGCTTGGTGAGGTGGAGGGTTGACGAAAAAGGGGAAGGCCTTCAATAAGATGGATTGACACAGTGGCTGCGGCTATGGACTCAAACATAGCATGGATCTTGGAGCTGGTGCCAGACTAGGCAGTGTTTCATTCTGCTGTGCATAGGGTCACTGTGAGTCAGAGATGCCTAGACAGCACCTAACAACAACGACAACATACTAAAACTGGAACAATTCAGAGAAGATTAGCTTGGCCCCTGAGCAAGGATGACACGCAAATTCGTGAAGCATTCCATATTTTTACCAAATGTGCATGAACTGCTGAATGTAAATCAAATTTGCTTTGTAAATTTGCACCCAAAGCACAATTAAAAAAAAATAATCAAATGATGTATTGTACTGGGAGAATTTGCAAAAGACCTCTTTAAAGAATTTAAAATCAAAGATGTCACTTTGAGGACCAAACCATAGTGTTTCCAGTCACCTCATATGCATGTGAAAGCTGGACAATGAAGAGGACTGAATAAGAATTGATGCCTTTGAATTATGATATTGGTGAAAAATATTGAATATAGCATGGACTATCAGAGGAATAGGAGCTCTGGTGGCATAGTGCCTAAGGTATTTGACTGCTCACCAGAAGGCTGGTGGTTCAAACCTACCAGCCACTCTTCAAAAGGAAGACAGGGCAATCTACTTCCACAGTGATACCAGCTCAGGAACTCCAAGAGGGGTTTCTATGATTCAGATCTGACTTGATGGCAGTGTTACATCGCATTATCAAAAGAATGAACAAATCTGTCTTGGAAGAACTTCAGCCACAATGCTCCTTAGAAGTAAGGATGGTAAGACTTCGTCTCACATACTTTGGATATGTTACCAGGAGAGACTAGTCACTGGAGACTTGTCATGCTGGTAAAGGAGAGGGTCAAAGAAAAAGTAAGATGCTTAATGAGGTGGAATGACACAGTGACAACAAGAATGGGCTCAAACATGTCAATAATTGTGAGAATGGTGCAGGACCAGGCAATATTCTGTTCTGTTGTATGAATCAGGGTGGTTATGAATCAGAACTGACTCGATGGTACCTCAGATTTGCTAAGCATATCCTCTGTAGTGAACACCATGCTTGGATTGGTATAATTTAGCTGGTCTTGGATCACTCCCCTCATCTCTATTTCTCATTCTCTCTACACCAGTGCCTTTTGACTGTCCATCTCCCTGTCTACTCTCAAACACACTCTCTACTCTTGAATCTCCTCTCCACAGAACCCCTGGGTAGCTGGTCTTGACCAAATGTTACAAGCAGAGCCATGAATCTGTGGGTCATCCTGGGAGACTCCCTCCTCTCTCCAGATTAGATTCCCTGTATTTCAGAAAACATGAAAATGTCCATGTCTTTGATAGGGTAATTCCCACTCTGGGAATTTTACCTTAAGGAACTGAGGCCATATACAACCATAATATTCTGCAAAAGAAGAAAGGCTCAGTAAATAATACTTAATCTACTCAAAAGGCCTATTATGTAGCAATGGTTCAAAAAACTATTAACAACAGGAAATATCACTTGTTAAGTCAAAATAGAAAGAAAAAAAAAGTGCTAAATTATACTGTAACTATGAGATACACACAGTGAAAATGTATATATGATAATCACCAGGCACAGAGTCTGGGCAGGGTTACCATCCCATGGAGAGGCCCTGGAGTCAGAATACTTAGGTTTGAAGTTTGGTCCCACTGCTGGAAGCTGCATAACCAGTTAGTTGGGCCCTCAGTTTACTCTTCTATAAAATGAGGATATTTGATAGTTGTGTCAATCTCATAGGGCTGTGTGCAGATTAAATGAAATAGTATATATAAAGCACTTAAAATAGTACCTGGCACACACACCAGTAATACCCAAATATTAAGTTATTATTATAAGAGGCAGAATCACTAGTTGATGTTTTCCTTGTATTTGTAATTACAAACATCCAAACAGTGAAGGTTGAATCCCAGCTTCATCAGTTTACTATCTATGTAGCCTGGGCAAGTTATTACCTCTTTACGCCTGTTTTGCTCATTTATAAAATGGAAATAAAGGTACTATTCTGAACCACAGTCCCCTCTGTCATTGACCACACCAGCCACTGCCATCTACAGCATGACATGTTATAGGCTCCCATGCAATACAGCACTCTGAGAAGGAGACTCATCTAAAGTTCTATTTTAATAGAATTTAGAGTGTTGTATGAAATAAACATTCAACCACTCTAAATAAACACTGGAAACCAGTAGTATAAAAATAATTTATCATTATATAATTAGCCATCATATCGTAAAGCATATCAAAAAGTTTGAATAAATTATGTGGCGTCTCTTTACTAAATGTGTCCTGAAATCAAATGGAATCAACTTGCAGGCAAGGACAGCGTTTTATACTGTTTTTGGACTTCACTAATCTGAGCACAGTGTTAGGGACATTTTAAGGCTTAAAAAAGGCATGTTGGTTAGATATCTATGACTAAAATTTAATTTATACCATAGAACTGCTAGGCTTTAGTTATGATGGCAGCATATATGTTCTCCTAACATCTGCCTTATCCAGAAACACTTCTTAAACCACCTCAATTTCTTTCAGTGTTATTAGAGATCACAAATACTAAGGTATTTAATCTTTTATTTTCATCAGTAAAGACAGCAATTAGTCATTGCTACTGGTGAGGTCCTACCTGTCAATTCTAGTCATTCTTCCCATGACAAAACTTCCCTGCTTACAGACCGTGTAAAAAAAATTACAGAAGAACAGAAAACCAACCTTCGGGACATACGGGGAATCAAGAGTTTTCTAAAACTACAAAGTCCTGTTTCTGTCTTATACATAGTAAGCATATTCTACTCACTATTCCACCAGCATATGTCTTCACATTTTAAACTGGGTTACTCCCTTAAAACAATGCATTATGTTCAAGTAGTAAAAATAAGAACAGTGAATTCCATTGAATGTTTTTGCATTTGCTTATTACTAGTTAAAATGCCCATTTATAATTTTTCTTTTTACACATTCGTAGTTCAACAAATGCATGATTCTTTTAATCTGAAGGATATTGCAAGTCAGCACTTCATTGAAGAAAGTGTATGAAATCGCAGCATTAGTTTCTGAAACGGAGGATTGAAATTCTGCTTTCCAACTTCTACTTTTAGTCCATCACTATTCCGCATGTTCCTGTTCTTGTCCTGGAATTAGCCACCGAATGCTCTCAGTTCGAATGGTAGCATACATAATAAAACTAATTAAAAAGAATAAGGAAAATACAAGCAACCAGTCCACGCTTTTTATCAAAGTGCTGGGAAGAGGGCCTATTTGGTCAGCTTGAGTTACCACAACATTTTTCTTGGCTTCTATACCTGAAAGAGAAATCAGTTGTTTCCAATCAGAAAAAGCACCTGCCATAGATTTTTCTGAAGTATTATGCATGGTATGCAAAATGATACACAGTCGTAACATAAACACTCAGATATACTAGTATATCTGAGTGGATTTCACTTGTCTGTTGGTGTAATCTGCAACTTGCCTTTCTCCCCACCATATCAAAGGATCGGGAAATCCATTCAGCTGTTGAAAGCAAAAACTAGAATTCTTGTGAATTCATCAGAGGTTTCTTAAGCAATGCATTGCAAGAATTTTCTTTTGTTCTCTTTTGAGTCCAAAGTTCAATAAGTAACTAATAAAGTTACTCCTAGGGCTCTAAAGAATGATTCTACAAATTAAGTAATGCTAAATTCAAAATGCTGGGTTTTTTTTTTTTTTTAAATGCTTTGAAATAATTTACTAAAAAAAAAATGCACTGTTAGAACAACTAACCATCACTGGGACCAATGACTCCCAAAGATGCTTCTGCAGCTCGTGGACTCTAGGTTTCCTTAAGCATTGAACAAAATGGTTCCCTCTCCCCACATCAGGCTGGATGACAGTCAGGGGTCTGGTATGTGACAATCCAGGACCAAACTTAGGATATCTAAACACTTGATAGCAAGCTTTCTACAAGTAGAAGCTCTTCCTTCTTTAGTATTAGATATAAGTAATTACATGTAATTTAATATATATGGAATGTGTGATAAAAATATATATATATATATTTCCAATGAATAAACTTCAGGAAGAAGTGAGATGTTCGTATTTAATGTATTAAAGTTTTTGAGGAGAGAACGTTTCCAATAGAGGAAATGTCTTCCATTTACAATGTTTAAACTTTCATGAACACAGTAATATTAAGGCTGTATGTTTTGCCAAATGTTAAGGAATTAAAATAGCATCTACAAATGGATTAATCAGTGGACACTGTACAGAAACAAATTAGCCAAACGAACTATATACAATACAGAGGAATCTCAAAATCATAATGTTGAATAACTAAGCCAGACACAAAATACTGCATACTCTATGTCCCCATTAATACACAACTGGCAAAAAGGCAACTAGACTATGGTATTAGAAGTCAAGATTGTGGTTATCTTTGGGGAAGGGGTAGTGCCTGAAGCACTTAATGATGAAGACCAAAGACTATAGCCTTCAGTATGGATTACACCTCAACATAAAGAAAACAAAAATCCTCACAACTGGACCAATAAGCATCATCATGATAAAAGGAGCAAAGATTGATGTCAGGATTTCATTTTATTTGGATCACAATCAACACCCTTGGAAGCAGCTGTCTAGAAATCAGACAACATATTGCACTGGGGAAATCTGCTGCAAAAGACCTCTTTAAAGGGTTAAAGAGTGAAGATGTCACGTTGAAGACTAAGGTGTGCCTGACGCAAGCCATGGTATTTTCAATATTCTCAAATGCATGTGGAAGCTGAACAGTGAATAAGGAAGACTGAAGAAGAACTGATGCATTTGAATTGTGTTGATGAAGAATATTGGACTACCAGAAGAACGAACACATCTATATTGGAAGAAGTACATCTGGAATGCTCCTTAGAGCAAGAATGGCCAGACTTTGTCTCACCTACTTTGGTCATGCTGTCCGAGGACCAGTTCCTGGAGAAGGATGTGCTTGGTAAAGGGTAGTAAAAAAGAGGACGACTCTCAACAAGATGGAATGACACAGTGGCTGCAACTATGGACTAAAGCATAACAAAGATTGCAAGGATGGTACAAGACCAGGCAGTGTTTCATTCTGCTGTACATAAGGTTGCTATGAGTCAGAGCCAACTCAATGGCACCTAACAATAACTGTATTAGAGCTTAAATTCTAAAGCACTTAGGTTTGCATAAGGCTGTGGTCTACAGGGGTCCTAACTCCATTCTTAACATAAGTTCAGATACCAGGTGAGTTCTTTCTGACCTTCAAACTAACATTGTGGCTATCCACAGACAAGTTCTAGGTCAAACCTAAGGAGGGGCAGTTTGCCCTCAGGAAGAGTGTTGTTGAAAGTAGATTATACTCATACAAAGAACTAGGGAACTTGCCTAAGTGTGTTCTTATCTCATTTAAATTAAGTTTGGGGTCCTGGTATTGTCTTGCAGCCATTTTATTTCTATAAATCAGGGTGCCTGGTCATGAGTCGTATCTAGACCACCACGTTGCCAGGTGGTCAAGCCCAGAACCAATCCTATAACTCTTTTTAATCTTTAATTACATGTAGTGCCTCCTGTGACAGTGATGAATCGATCTGCCATCAATCATGATTTTGTGGTGATTTCCTTTGTTTTTAATCATGTATAATTAGCCCCATGGCCAAGACTCAAGGGACTCCATTCTGCTTTCATTATTGTGTACATGCTGATGGTTTCCCTCATGCTGGATGACTGTCTTTGTTTTGTCTTTGTCCCGTCTAAGGTTTAATAAAAGTGTCTCTATTGAACCGGTTCAACTCTGGGGTCTCTTTTCCTCTATTACATAACAAGTTTATTAGGAAAAAAGTGTTAATACCTCAATCTTGAATCCTTCATTTAAGATAAAGATTACAGCGGATCAGAACCTACAGAAGACATATACCCCCAGCAATAAAATATTTTCTATAGCACATTATTTCTACATACCTGTCTGATTAAAAATGAAAATTTTCAGAGTTTCCAGTGTTCGGTCTGTATGGTTAAATCTAGCCATTGGTTTAGCTCCTTGAAATAACAAAATGTTAGGAACAGCTACAGTGCCAAACCTAGTAGAAAGGCTGTAAGAAAAAGAAGTCAGTCAGAAAAGCTGAATTAACAGTGGGCTTTCTCCCACAATCAACTTATTAGAAGGGATGGAAATCAATGAGAAAAGATCAGTTTCATTGGATCTAAAGAGGTTTGTAGCATAGTGCCTAAGGTACTTGACTGCTAACCAGAAGGCTGGCGGTTCAAACCCATCGGCCACTCCTCGGAAGGAAGGTTGGGCAATCCTACTTCCGTAGTGATACTGCCTCGG